CTTCAACTATAATCTCCAAATGATGAGTCATAGCAAGATGAAAAGACGTCCAAGAACTTCTAAGTTTACTGACAACAATATAAGACGCTCTCTAATTATTAGGGGCACCTTGAGCCCTCTAAATATGTGCTGCTCTAAAAGTGTAAAGTTAGTCGAACTGTATTTCAAAGAGGATGTACATTGATAGATGCAGCACAAGACGTTAATACCAAATTCCTTTTCCTGCTAACCTGTAAGAAATTATTATTTTTCTCTGTCCGAAAAATCGCATAGCATGAAAATAATATCTCTGAAAATCAACTCCAATTTTAAAAAAATCAGGCAAAGAGGCACTTTGAAAAGTTAGTACAAATATGAAGTTGAGCTTCTTGGGATTCAGGGCAAAGGTGATAAAGCATTTACAAGCCATGCATCATCTCTGATATGGAGATTCGTTCATAAGCTTTTCCGAAAGACATTTCGGAATTAGTGTTTCATGCTGCACCTCCCTGCATACATCAAATGTGAATCACTATCTCGACTAAGTATTCCTTTAAAACGCCGAAAAATTGTCTCGTAAGGTTCACAGAGGGTTACAATACATTCAGCCTCATCACTTTTCTTCTCATGTCACGGTAGAGCTTAAAAGCGGTGCTAAAGTCACCTACAATTTCACGCCGTAATTTTCTTTATCACCAAATATGTAAAATTCATTCATAAGTGAAATTTCATTTAAGCTAGCTCTTTAAATTGCATTTACGATGACGGAAAAGTTTTAACGATCAAACGGGCGTATTTCTGAAACCTTACCTTATAAATATTGCTGCGGTCGCTTTTTTAAAAAAATCTTTTTGTGAGAATTTCTATGCTAGCCAACCCTATAGCGCGTGGCCAACACAATTTTAATGATAAATATAAACTTTCGACCATGGAAAATTAGATGAGGGTAATCCAAAAGAGTTTAGGTTTGAGCTTTGTTGACACATTCCTGTTCCTTATGCACCGTTGGGACTGGTGAAGGTGTCGTAAGCGTGGGGCTTTGAGCCGGATAACATTTTGGATATGCCGGTGGGTATGGAGGTGGATATCCTGGCAGGTAGTAGTTGGGATCTTGCGAACTGTAGCCGTTATAGGGATATGACATAGCGTGATTAGATCGAGGAACTCCGTTACTCGCCTTCACACCTTCGTTGTTGGCATAGCCAGGATATGAGTCGACTTTGTACCTTGAGGGATCTAAATGCAAACTTACATTGACAAGATAAAATATAGAAAAATGAACAAAAAAAGGAAGAAAAAGTAAAGAACAAACCGTCGAGTATTATAACCTCCTGTCTGTTAATATTGTAACAGCAGTAGATGATATAGATAGACAGGATAATTGTAAGAAGAATCCTCAAAAACAAGTAAACTTGTGCAAATTTTGGATAAGTTTAAATCATATCCATACCCAAGAACTATTGCCAGCCTTCTTGTGCCTTCATCACTTTCAGATTTTGTAACAGTGCAACAATCACTCCCGCAGCAATATTCGCCCGCAGGGCAA